TCCTCCTCCTCCTCCTTCTCCTCCTCCTCCTCATCCTCCTCCTCCTCCTTTCAGGCTGTGTTTTTTCTGTATATGTTTCTGGAGTCCTGAGCCTGAGCTAAACAAAAGCAGGAGGCTGACGGGGCTGCTGGAGTTTGCAGAGACACGGAGGAGGAGAGAGCCTGGGCTCTGCCTGCCGCCGCTGCCGGGGGAGATCTGGCTTTTGCAACAGCCCACCCCCTTTGAGATCACTCTGGCCCGGAGTGGGGGTGGGGGGCAGCGGGGGGTGGGGGGAAAGTTTGCCTTGCAATCCCCCTGCCTTCCTCTCCTTTCTCCCGATCAATGCATATTTGCAAAAGGATTAAGCCACAGATTTAAGCGCCGGGAGCCCATTTCTGTCTTGCAAGGGAGATCGGACTGAAAAACCCAAGCCAGCTCTGATTTCTTTTCGCCAAGTGGGAAGGTGGTTTATTTTTCTTGCTTTTTGGAGTCAGCACCCTTCCCCACCAGCCCTTACCCCACCCTCACCCCGCAACCCCTTCACGCCCCCCTCCCCTTCCCCTTCCCCATCCTCCCACCACCTCCAAAGAGGCAACGGGAATTTTTTTTCTTCTTCTTTTGGTCTTCTCTTTTTTCCCCTTCCCTGTTTATCCTGAAAAGGATTTGAAGACAGCTTGAAGGATAAAAAGCCTGGTGCTTCCCAGGAGCCGAGCCGAGGAGCAGAAGAGGAAGAGCCGAGGGCTGCCGTAGCCTGTGGAGATGGACGAGCAGCCCAGGCTGATGCATTCCCACGCCGGGGTCGGGATGGCCGGACACCCCGGCCTGTCCCAGCACTTGCAGGACGGGGCCGGAGGGACCGAGGGGGAGGGCGGGAGGAAGCAGGACATTGGAGACATTTTACAGCAAATTATGACCATCACAGACCAGAGTTTGGATGAGGCGCAGGCCAGGTGAGATGGAAGCTTTTCTTTCCCTTTCTTGGGTTTTTTGTTTTGTTTTGTTTTTCTCCCTCTCGCAGGGGGAAACAATGGGAACCGAATCACCACGGCGCTTTCTTTTAAAATGTTGTTTCTTTTCCCATTTTGACAAGCAACTACATGGCGGAGGAGTAAAATTTGAAGAAGCGTTGTTATCGAAAGTGTAATTGCCCAGGCTGTGATGTGGCTGTGTACATATTGTGTGTGTGTGTGTGTGTGTGTGTGTGTGTGTGTGTGTGCTGTGTGTATAGAGGTATTCATATAGATCCACACAAACACACAGGCAAGCCGAAAATACTGCCAACTGATCCAAAAGCGGCCCTCGGCACTTTTTACTGCTTTAAAAAAGTGTAAGAGAGAACAGAATTGTCAAGTTCAGAGCAGCATTCCATGCCTTCTGGTTGAGGGACTTCGTAACATTACCAAATAAAATGTCCCAAGAACTCTTTATTTGCAAATTTAGCTGGCTCTTTAGCTAATTTGCCGAGTTTGATTTTCTGTCTTGACTTAACCTCCAAAATTACGATCTTTTCTCCTCTCTCACCCCCACCAAGTCCAAAACAAATAAACAACAACAAAAACAGGGTATTTCTTTGTCAGTAGTTGTCAGCATTCAGAAAATATTTTGCACTCACTTAATTCTGTTGTTAGAAAAAACTAATGGCAAAAAAGCAAAGATAATTTTGCTGTTAGGCACATTTGCTAGTTTCAAGAGACTCAGATTTTTAGTTTAACTTTATTGTCTCTTAATTTGAGTTGATTTGCTGGCCTTCCATGCCACAGACAGCTATGCAAGGTCCTTTAAAAAAAGGATAGGGGACAGAAATCAAGCAAGCACTTTCCCCATGCTTCTTTCTTAACCACTTAGAATGCAACTAAATAGAAATGAAAGCATGTGCGAATTTTATGTATTTGAGTACTGTAGGACATGAAGATGTTCATTAAAGAAAAATAATTAAGCAACTAGCTTCCTAACTTAATCCACCTCCAGGTATATAGTTCTGAACTCTAGGATTTTATAGAAAATTCTCTTTCAAAATGAAACACAGATTTAAGTGACAACCTACTAGCAGCTAGCCCAAGGCCAAACTTGAAAGGAAGAATTTAAAAAATCTAATGACCACATATGTCTCCACAATTACTCAGCTTTGTTGACTCCTTGAAGTATTTTTTAAAATTTGAAAATCTTGTAAACATATATACAAAATTACATTAAGTGACTTAGCTGCATGGAAAAGACATGCTATGTAATCTTATCTAAGGGAAATAGGAATTTGAGTTGGGAAAATTAGAGGAAATGTCTAAAAGCATAGATGTTGTGAATTACACTCTATTTCAGCTGCCAGCACATGCAACATGTAAACTCAAAAGTAATAAGGTTTACGGGTGCTCCGAAACTCGCAAATGTTAAAAGACTAGAACTATTCTAATTTTTTTAATAAGGGAAAGGTTTTTTAAATTAATTGGTACGCCTTTTGAATTTTATTATCAGATGAAAAGCTAATAAGTATAATAAATGAACAGTTTCCCACTGGCAATTTTCTTTTGATTTGGAGCAGATTTCTCTATTACATTGTTCCAGAAAAATACACTCAGACATACCAATAAACCGGCTTAATAGCAAGTTTGTGAACTGGAAGGAAGCAGTAAGAATAGACACTCACTACTTTTCTGATGTTTAATCACTGTTTTTTTGTGAAACTGAGGACTAGTTTAACTCAGCCCCCCCCCCCCCTTAATGGCCTAGATGCTGAGCAATCAGATACAATTTGGGGTTAGGGAAATTTTCAGTTCTCCCTCTATAATCCCATTTGTGTAACTGTAGAAATGCAATATTTCTATATAGCTCTGTGGGAATTTTTGTTTGAATTTGGGCCTATGTGTAAGACTACAATTAGTGAAAACTGTTTTTAAAAAGAAAGAAAGGGTAAGATCTTTAAGAGTAAAGTCTTTCATTTTCCCTACTCCACATCAGAACGACTAATTGCTACTAAGCTTTCTTTTTTGGTTAAACAATGTAACTACTTTAGTTACACTACGTGCTTTTTTCCTTTTCCTAGTCACATCTTTATAAATGTGTATTTGTTGATTCCAAAGTGAACAGATACTGTTTTAAATACCATCTATGCCATCTATGTGTTCATTTTGATAGTCTTGAATTTTGAGGTTATTACTCCCTGTCGTACAGTAGATAGAGCATGCTTATAATCCCTGTTCTTCGGGAGGATGTGTTTCTTTTTTTTTTAACTTTCAAAAGGATCAAAAAGAATTGTATATGTTTTGAGTGCCAGGGCTTTCCATTTATCTTCACACATTAATTTCAGTTAGTAAACAGAATTCCCTTAACTAATAGCTGATATGATCAGTATTTTGTTTCCAAAACAGTATCATTCTGCTAAGTGATTCCACAGTAAAGTAGAAGGAAAGGTATTGTTTGGTTCCTCAAGTGCATTCTGAATACAAACACATACAGACATCAGAACCAGGTAAATCACTAATCTAAAAGCACAATTGTATTTATTTTTTCCCCAATGGGTGCAAGGTCTTAATTGTAAATAACTGAATTTCAACACCTGCAAATAAGCGGTGTGTGCGCAAGAGGCATAATGTGAACACAGAGAAATGAATTTATTCCCCATATGGGTTTGTTTGCCCCCTGGCAATGCATTTCCATACTCTTTAACTTGGGGACTGAAATTTTATAAATTGACAGTTCTACTCAGAAGACCTTTCAAGCATCTTGTGTTTATGAGAATACAGGGGCATCTGCGGAATGAATTCAAACACATGGATGAATTAAATTTGAAAACACGCACAGACACACACACAGACACACACATCGACTGAGAGGCAGACAGCTCCTAGGCTGTGGTCATTGGGTAGATTATATAAAACTGCATTTGGCTTTGCTGTATTCATTGTCCTGGGTGGGATTATCAGTTTAAGAATTCCACATTGATTGAACTATTATAAAAAACTCTCCCTAAATGGGGATAATTTAGGTTAGTTCTATTCTGTACTTAAATCCCTACTCTCTGACTGCTAATTAACATTATTTCTTTTTCTATGGCGGGGCTTTGTATAGTAAGTCATAAAAACAATTGAAGCATGCCACAGAGTTATGCTCAGTCTGTAATTTTACCTAAATGTTCAGATTTTTCCCCTTTGCATTATCAGTTATTCAATCTTGAGAATCCACCTAAGCTATCATGCTGTTGTTTTTTCTTGCAGAAAACATGCTCTGAACTGCCACAGAATGAAGCCTGCCTTGTTTAATGTGTTGTGTGAAATCAAAGAAAAAACAGGTAGGAATGAGAATCCAACATTTTGACATTTTCTTTGGCCAGTGAATCCTTAACCAGCAATCATGAGTCTCTTATTTAAATATAAAAATTCAGATTAAAAATGCAGTTGTGATTGTCCAGGTACTTCTAATGGGAAGTCCTGCTTTCTTTAAAAGAAAGCATCAAGTTTCTTTGACAGTTATTTTCAAGCATTATAGATATATTTTCCTTAACTCTATCATCAGGTTTTTGTTTTTGTTTTTGTTTTTGTTTTGTTTTGTTTTGAAACGAGTTAAAATATAGGTTCTAAAGGAAAATTTATAGAATGGTGTGTCTTTGTGGGAAAAATATGAAAGTAAAAGTCTATTTCCCAAAGGAGTATATTTTGGCCCATAATTAAAATCTTTTTTTTTTTGGTGTTGTATGGGGGGGGGGGACTAAAGTGTTTAAGTTTCTCTCTCTCTCTCTCTCTCTCTCTCTCATTCTTTTTCCTAATTACACAGCAGACTAGAGGTTCTCAAAAGAGGCTGTTGCCAAATACCTTTGTGGAAAGCACATTACAACATTAGGTTATCAGTATTTGAATGGCCTATGATTTTATAGCAAGGAGAATTGTTGGATTTATACTACCTTGCGATCACTCACTCTGTTGTTTTTCTACTTCCTAGACCTCATATCATGGACTAACATACTTATAACACATCCCAGGAGGGCATTTAAATTTTAAAGCAACAATTAAAAAATAGCAGTCATCAATCAGAGGTGTTCTTAAACAACAGATGCTCAGGGAAGGACATTTAGCAACATCCTCTTGTTTGTTTATTTTAATCCTTAATTTCCCAAAGTGGGTGAATCTCTGCCTTGTAAGAAGAAAGAGTTGAGGAGGCGATCTGAAACCAGGTCTTAAAGATGAGGGCCAGGGTGGTTACATAAAGCGGGAGCTTCGCTAGGCTCTCACTTGCCTGCTCGCTTTAAAGCACAGAAGTACCTGACATCCTACTTATTTATTTATTTTTTACAACAAGGAGTGTAACAGTCAATAATTCATATCTAAACCATATAAGCAAGGGCATGACATGAATGAAAGTGACAATAAATATGATTGCATGTCCGGTTGATATACATTGATAGTTACACATAAAAGAGGAAGGGGGGGCATTGAGGGGGGCTTTCTCTTTCTGAGCTCTCTGTGTTATGCCTTTAAAAAACAAATAGTTTCAAGATGTGACTGTTGATTGAATATGTAATTACTCAGCTCTTCAAATGTATATAAAATTAGTAAGCAAGTCCTTTATTGTCTGTTATTGGTGTTGTGCATAACGTACTAGACAAAGCACCTGAAAAGTGATGTTCAGACCTTTGAATCTTCCCCGTTGCTTTGCCAAAGACCAGCCGTATTGCCAAGCTGATAATTGCATAATTTTAGCTGTGAGACACCTTTTAAGACATTTGAGGATTGTGCATACAAATATCAAAAGAGCTTTTTCTTTCAGCTTGTCACACTGTCTAGATTTTTTTCTATTAGCCCAGAATCAGGAAACTTAAGTGCGTTTATGTCTATATATATTTTTTTTTCTTTTCTCCTCTTTTCTTCCTTTTTTTTTTCTTCTTTGATCTCTGATGTTTATTTACTTTGCATATTTGCTCAAATTTGTTGGAATTTCTTTCTAACTGAGTATGCTTTCCTGCTGGTCTTAGTTTATAAAATGTAGGATCAAGATGTAAAAGGATGTGTAATAATACAGGCTAAGGAGAGTTTTATGTTTGAAGACATTTTATTAGATTTTTGGTTAAAGGAAGACAGCTAGACCTCTTAAGTGTACATTGTGGCCAACGTGTTTAATTCTAGTTTCCAAATTAAAACCTTCTGAGGCAGTAGATCAAAGTGGGTGTGTGTAAACAGAGAACCGGTTCAGGTGTTGGTTAGAGTTTACTGCTTGTTAATATTGGCTAAAGTCTGGTGACAGGGAAATTTGTGTGGGTCAAAATAGTGTTCTAAATGTGTCATTTCTAGTTAGAATTCATATTGTAATTTTTGAAAACATTTTGTCAATACATTTAATGGGAGGAGACTTTTCAAATATCTAAGACAAACTTTTGTGTGCCATCTCTGGAATTATATATTTTTAAACATAGTTTAGGAAATACCATAGATGGAATGTGTCATTGTCTCCTGTATTGAGGGAGAATACACAGTTTTGGACTGAGAGGACACTTTGGGTAAAAGTTAAAAAACAAAAATAAGAAAGATACCTTCCTCTTGTTCTTCAACCAGAATGCTGGAAGGATTGAGGGAAGAAACCAGAACTGTGGAATGTTGAAAAGAACACTTTGATTCTAAAGCACAATAACTTTGCTACTCAGAATCTACAGCACCCTCATGTTTTGTGCCAACATACCTTCCATGTGACTGATGCATCAGAGTGATATAAGGTGTCTGTAAAGTTGGATGAGCATTTTGGGTTTTTTTTCTCTTTTTTCGCTCTTCTCTTTCCTGATACAGAGCTAGTGAAAAGATCCCTGGTATGATCAGTTCAAGAATGTTCTTTTATTGTTTTGAGACATTTCCTATTGTTACTTGCAAGCCTTTACCATTTAAAGAATGTTTTGGAGCAGCTACCTAAAGCATTGTGGAAGGCACTTGACTTGGGATGGGCTTTGTTTTTGTTCTACTGTGAAGTTCACACTTTTGCTCACCTAGGCAGAACTCTGGAGAGGAGCTTGATAATTGCATTCACTCAACTGCTTTTGCTATTTGGCTTTTGTTAATGATTTTAGTTGGAGGACTCAGAACTAAACAGGAAAACTGAGTTCTCTCAGAAACTGTTTGGAACTTTAAAAAACACACACACATGCGCATAATACCCAAAGTAGGCAGCACATCTGAATTACAATTGATTGATGGGTATTTAAGTCAGAAATTATTGTCGGGATATTTAAAAAGAAGAAAAATCCATGTGTTTGCTTGCTTCAGAATGTAGACAGGTTTTTATTTTGATAATTTTTGCTTTTTAAAAATGAATGAGAAGAGAGAGGAATGCCAGGGAAATGCTCACGTGGCAGATTTTAAACAACAGCAAGAAAACACTGTTTAAACCATGTGTATTTCAGATGTGGCTTTTATCTGCATGCTCTGCCTAGAAACATAGATATTTGATGTAGAGTTTGGGTCATTTATTTTCTCCCTTCCTTCCTTCTTTCCTTCCTTTCTTCCTTCCTTCCTTCCTTCCTTCCTTCCTTCCTTCCTTCCTTTCTTTCTGAACCATTTCTTGTCTTCTGACATTTGCAATAGGCTGGGTTTTGCATGTGCACATATGTGGTGGCCACTGCATTTCATGGGGTAGAAGAGAAAGAGAAAAAAGTCAAAAATTGCATTTCTGAAAAACACTCAATATATTTAAAAAATAGTTCTTGAACTGTTTTGTTCTATGTCAAAATCGTGCAGGTTTAAAAATTAGGAAAAGATAAAAAGTAGGTGCCATTTACCAAGGAGAATATTTATAGATAACAATGAATAGTTGTGATTATTGTGAGTAGTTTTTAATTTTAGAATATAATAGCTATATATGGCACTTTTCAGCCAATTTTCCTCGGCACATAATCTGCACTGAAGTTAAATCAAATCGTTGGAGGAGGTTAAAGTTATTTTTTGCTGCCTTAACACCCTTTTGTTCTCTCTCCTTTTCTCACTGTGCTCAATTAGCACCCCCACCACAGAACTGTAGGGTGTATTTTTAAGTCTACTACTGTATTTCTTTTTCGACACCCTCTTTTTATTATTCTTGTCTACCCCTTCTTTTAATATAGCAATTACATTATGGGGCTTTTACTCTCTTCTCTTTTAAAGCATTAGAGAATAATTTTGTGTTTGCATGTCTAAGTTTATCTATATGGCTTGGGGGACCACTCTAGAAGAATGCTGTACATTACAGGGATATAATTCTGATGACTTTAGTCCTTATGCACAACAGGAGTCAAATCACTTTGGACAGTTTAGAGCAGCTTCCAGTTATATTCCTTTTGGAGTTGAGGCAGGAGGGACTTTTTGTGGATGCTCATCCATAGCAGGCAAATGCAGAAACTTTTCTTGCTGATAGGAGAATTCAAGCATTTGGTCCTTGTTACTGCATTTCTCCTCCCTCCCTCCTTCCCTTCCTTCCTTTCCTTTTATTTTTATTTCTTTTTTTCTTCCTCATTTTTGTGGAAGGTGCTAATAAGGAAAGAGGATTGAAGGAGGGGAAGACACAAGTTGCCTGCTCTTCACCCTGCAGGCAGAGTGTTAAAGCCAAGCGATGTGGTTAGACTCTACCATGTAGGAGAACATGGGTACAAGGTGTAGACTGACAGCATGTCTCTGAGAGCACAGTGGAAGGGGAATTTGTGCCATGATATGTGCCATCTCTCCGGGAACTTTTGCTTACTCCATTTGAGAAGTGGAGAAAATGGAGCAAAGGAGCCATTTGGTCACAGATCCCAGAAGGACATTTTTGGAAATTCGTTGTTGTTTGTTCTAACCATAGGGGTGTGTGTGAAGTTTGGATCTGAGAGCGGTTAAGCTTTCACTGCAACTGGAAGAGGCTCTGTGAGAGGGGAAATGCTGAGAGGGAAGTGTGACCTGGAGCCACATGGGAGTTGGGACTGAGGGTGTGAACTCCCAGGTGGCCCAGAGGCTGTGCCTGGGGCAAGGCTCTACCTGTGTGAACTCAGCTCCTTGCTGGGCCAGGCTGGCTCACCTGCCCTTGCCCTGTGTTCTGTTGACACCGGGAACTTTTTGTTGTTGGTTGGCTAAATTACAAAAATGCCCCCAAGCAAGCAAACAAACCAAAACCTAGATATTGAGTACATGTAAATAGGAAAGCATCTTAATTTTTATTTTAAAGCATAACTGTGACTTCTTTTGAAATAATTTACTTATGTGGTGTAGGAAAGCTTATCTTTAATTTTGGTTTCAAATATCATTTAGCAGGAAGTTGTTATGTTTCAACTTGGACTTGGTAAGGTAGATGTAAATATACATTGAT